CTGCTTGGTGAGGAGGGTGCGGGATACAAGTACGCCATTGGTCTTTTGAACGAGGGACGTATCGGTATTGCGGCTCAGATGACTGGTCTCGCTCTCGGTTCGTGGGAGAACGCCGTCAGGTAAGATTGCCCCTGTCTATCCCTGTGCTGATATATATTCTTCAAAACTAACACTATTCAAAAGATACGTCTGGAACGACCGCAAGCAGTTCGGCCAGCTCGTCGGCGAGTTCCAGGGCATGCAGCACCAGATCGCCCAGTCCTACACCGAGATTGCCGCCGCCCGCGCGTTAGTCTACAACGCGGCGCGCAAGAAGGAGGCGGGCGAGAACTTTGTCATGGACGCCGCCATGGCCAAGTTGTACGCCAGCCAGGTCGCTGGCCGCGTGAGCGGACTGGCTATCGAGTGGATGGGCGGCATGGGCTTCGTCCGCGACGGCCCCGCCGAGAAGTTTTGGCGTGATAGTAAGATTGGCGCTATTTACGAGGGTACGAGCAATATTCAGCTCAACACTATTGCCAAGTTGTTGCAGAAGGAGTATACCGCATAGAGATGTGGTGTCTACCTGGGTTCGAATGATATGTTGAAGAAGAAGGAAAGTAGTAAAGTTGCAAAGCTTTGTTTTTGAGGGAGTCGTGTAGGTTAGTAGATGGAGTCCTTTGATAGTAAAAAGCGACACGATTCGGTGTTGGGGCGCATTGCCTCGCAAAAAATGATTCGTTAGAAGATGAATGGAACCATATGTGGAAAGTCTCTATAGCCTTATTGTGAAGTTGCGTCGCCTTCGGACTTTGCGTCTTGGCATCTCGCGATGTCTCTATCCGCTGCATAGAATATTGACTTCGTCTTCTCAAGAGATATCCGAGTAGAGTACAAGACCTTTTGTCTCTCTTCATATTCAGGGGCAACTGCAAGAACGCACTCGGTCAAGCAGGGTCTACATCCAGTGGCATCTAGATCAGATGACAATAACGGCAACGAAAACCAAGAGTCGGCTTCATGTCATGATTCAAATCTACTCGTGGAATGAAGAACAACTGTCTGCGATGCCTAAGTGACTATCTTATCTCATAAGTTATGTCTCTTGCCACGTATCGTGAAGGAGCCGATCCCATGGGAGCCTTTAGCTAGCATGGGAGCCTTTAGCTAGAATTAATTCCATGACACTTATACCAGCTCCGGTGGCAACGAGAAACACCACCAGCCACATGTAGAAACGTGCAATCATTGACGTCGACATATTCCATTTCATCCCATCTCAGGCGTCCAATGTATAAGTGCCGCGTCTGTCTGCATGATGCGCTTCACATACCCCGTTACGGTAAAGTTCCATGTCTCTTTTGAGTAACATCAGACCAGAATATGAACGTCAATCAGCAACACACGGACCATTGAAATCTGACCGGAAGGTGACCCGGCGAGAGTTGGACCGCGGAAGGCGTTGCGAAAATTCACAAATAACTATGCGATGGCAAGTCCGAGCGGTTCGTGATCGGCTTCATCGCATCTCGATGATCAAAAAATAGGGACGACAGAGTGCATGAGCGAAGGGAGTTGATCGGCTTGAGCCGCAACTTTCCAGACCATTGATGATCCGAGGTTGGGTAAGAGATCCAGCCATAGTGACAGACTACCTTACCACATCCCACCTTGGGAGGATTGCCTGGGCATGACGAGGACCGGGTGGGTTGGGAAGGGGACCACCTTGGACGGCGGCCGCGGAGCGAGGGTGGGTCGAAACGGTTCCGCGACGTCGAGCCCTCGAAGTTGGCGGGCTGGAATTACGTGTCTCTGCCACCTTTCGGATAAACCATAGTGGTGCTTGTCTGCTATCCGTATATATCCATAGCTGACATTAAATTTCTCGGGTATGCATTTGCGGTATGCTTGGTTCAGCTGCGCCAAGTGTGGTGGTTGGCAGCGAGTGAGCTGCTTGGTTGGGTTGGTAGGTTTTGTTTCAGGTACACGTTACAGATGACATGATGAGCCGTGCCTATATGGCATTCCCGTTGATCTTGTTTGTGATTGGGACGAGAACGACGGGACGGGAGTCGAGAAGACTGTCATGGGCGGAGTACAATGGGCGGTGACCCGAATTCGGGGTTGATGGACTAGCTATCCACAATTTCCCCGTCCCGAAGAGGTAGGTTAAGTGCTGGCAGTTCGTATAGGACCCGCGTGTTTGATTATTTATCAACGTTCGGCAGAGGTGTGGGTGAGAGATCGTGTGTGTGTGTGTGTGTGTGGAATCTGGGGGAGGTTTTGCGGTGTTAGTGACTGGAGGAGAGGGCTGAGGACTTGGCCGTCGGTGTGGCGCGGCGTTGGGCCGGAAAGGCCGGCCGGCAGCTGTGTGGTGGCGGGGGGGACATTTTGGTGAGACCTGTTCGGCAGAGGTGTCAGCCGGGAGGCTAAGTCGGCCGGCGATTATAGAACCCCCATCACGAGGTGGGCGGTGGTGTATAGAGCTCTGTGGCGATGGCGTTGGCGAGGCGGCCTCCTGGATTGTGGGAACTGTCATATGCTTGAGACGTTGTTGGTGGTGGAGGAGAGCATGCCGGGTATTTCTCGTGTGAAATCAAAGTGTAGATGTGATTGTTGAAGTCTGGAGGGTTTGGAATATCAGCACGTGCTCGGAATCGTTTATGGGATTGCCGGCTTTTGGAGGCCAGTGAATGACGGTAGGTGAGTAGGTAGGTAAGGTAGTCACGGTAATCAGTACTCTGCATGGAGTACCTAGTCAGCGTGAATTTGGGGAGGTGTGTCCCACATTACATACCGTAGGTCCAAGGGATGGCAAAAGAAAAAAAAAAAAAAAAAAAAAAAAAGAGACTAGAGCAGGGCTAGACGCAGAGACGGGAGACGGGAAACCTAGGGCTGCATCATCAGATCATTGCGAGGTGAAGGGCAGCGTGTATGTGAAGTGTGATTTGTACGTGGTGGACGTGATGGGGATCGGGCGATGATGCAGCAGCTGCAAGCCGGCGATTGCGAGGATGGGCCGTGTTGGGAAAACTGGGCCGTTAAACTCCCCGAGACTTGGAGATGGTAATACTCTGTGTGTCTGTACCCGTCCAGAATACCTATGCTTTGTACAATGTCGTACAGTACCTCAGCATATACCTAAAGATGAGTGACCCGGTAGATATCTAGGGGAATGATGTGAGTAATACTGCTACACAGTGAAGTGTCTAGCTGGGTGCCCGGGTGACTGTTTGTGTTGTTCCATCATCTCTATGTACGGATACGGAGTATTGGTGTGAGAAATGAACTTTGTAAAGTCTGGAGAGAGTGAGGTGAGGTGTGATGAGAGGGCCACTGGTGGGTGGACAGAGTGGAAATGCTGAAGCTCTCCCGTCCAGTCACCGGTGACTCTCGTTTGGGCCAAGTACAAAGGTACAATGTCCATTGTACCAGAGTTTGGGCGAGGAACAAAGTGACAAGAGCCAGTCCTGACGTCTCCGGGGCTCCTCCCGCCAGTGAACCCGGGAGTGGAAAATGATTGGCGCAGAGCAGAAATGAATCTTCACCACGGTGAAACAGTATGGTAGGGGGAAAAAGTCCTAGGAAAGCCTTGGGAGCCCCACGTCCGATCCAGGACTTTTCTCAGGTCGTTTCCCTTCTTTTCTTCCAGTCCTTTCCCTATGTGCGTGTGCCTACCCCTCTATGAATCTGCAAGGCGCCGCCACAAGTTGTTGAATTGTTTCATTGCGCACCAATTATTTGGCTGGTGATACCGAGATGTACAGGACGACTAAGGCAGGCAATGAATGGTAGCTGAGATGCCCGAGATAGGACTGATGAAAAGCGACCGGTGTGTACACAGTAGATGGAATGGGAGAGCCTAGCTGAGCTTGCTGCCCTATGCGCCCATCTGCCCTGCCCTGCCTTGCAAGTTGCAAATGAGTTCGCCAGTCAGTGCGGCCTTTTTAATCGCCTGGAATACGACATCAAACTTGTGCCATCCTAGAGCAGCTGGTTATTGTTGTATGCAGCTGCAGGTAAGGTACCTAGGCGTGCTGGGCTGTAGTAGTACCTATGTAGGTATCCGTGGTAGTGCTGGCCTTACGGATACTGGGCATGAATACCCGCATGGGAGAGGGACAAACCTGGTAAGCGCACCCGCAACTACTTTTGTTGGATAGTTGGGCATCAGAGGATATGGGGATGATGAGACGCCGATGGATCCCCCGAGGGCGGTCGAAATAACATTGCGGATATCTTTTGATGATCTTTGGCCTTACCTAGGTGCTCTCAGACTCTGTAGGATTGCCGTGGTAATAAATGATAGGATATGAAGGGTAAGTACGGAGTAAGGTAGGTAGGTACCTTAATTGGCATAATCATCTGAAGAGGTCTTGTTTTTAGCTCGCCTGCCATCTTCACATCGAGTTACAGAGTTGCCTCGTCCGTGCCGGGTGCTTTCGTAACACCCCTCCATCTCAGCACACGGCAGAACTCTCAGTCTCAATGAGGTCGTCCCCCTCCCTCCCCCTCCAAAATAGGTACGTACCCAATAGGTATTACTTCCCGTGCAGAGCGGGCAGCCCAAGGCAGCCCGCATCTCGGGGATACAGGACTGGAGGTGAAGGTGGGAGATACTTTCCTCACGAAGTATCTCTACTGTGTGATATACACCAAAGTGATACTTAGAGCCCGGTAAACCCCCCCTCTCTCTCCCTCCCGCTGCCCACCGTCTCCTCGTCCTTCCTCACCCACCTCCACTCTGCCCGCCTACACACTGGTGGCCGCGAGAGAAAGAGAGAGGAAGCGACCCCTCCCGAGAAACCCCCCCCCCCGTCTTGCGTCCCGTCCTGCTCCAAAACCCACTGACGACATCCTTCACCAACTGCCCAAGCTGCGAAAAAACAACACCACCTCACGACTCGAGGGCTGGCTGCACCCACCGATCTTCTGTCGTGACAGTTCCGACAGACCGATCCTCCCGCTGTGCCAACCTACCCCGAGCCCCTCCGGCACCGAACTTCTGGTACCCATCCATACGCATACTTCGCTACTGAACTTCGTACCATCTCTGATCTACCAGACCTTACCTCCACCTACTACTCCCGGTCATCCTCTCTCTCTCTCTCTCTCTCTCTCTCTCTCTCTCTCTCTCTCTCTCTCTCTCTCTCTCTCTCTCTCTCCTCGCGTCGTATCCTACCTATCTCATACCTCGCACCCATTACCTCGCCCATCTGCGCGACATTGAGGTGACCACAATAGAGCGGGCGAGAGAATCTGCGTACACTACCACACGCAGCAGCCGCTCCCCTCTCTTTCTTGACTTCAAAGTAGCTTCAAAGCTCATTCTTTTTTCCCCTCCAACAAAAAAATCAACATCAACACAACACATAGTTCCCGCGCGTGGAGTCGCGCAACCCCACCGTCACAATGAACGACGAAGATGCCATCCAGAATATCCTCAAAAAGATTGAGCGCGAAAAGGCTCTCCTCAACGCCGCCAATGCTATGAGAGCCCAGACAAACAACGAGGCTGTGCGATCACGACTCGACTCCCAGATGCGCGATGGCCGTCGAAACCTGCAGTTCTTCGAAGAGAAGCTTCGCGAGGCCCAGATGCGGCGGGGAATGGACAGCATGTCTATCGGATCCCCTTCCGGCAACGGCAGACCTCTCAGCGGCGACGTCGAGGATGCGCCCGCTCCTCCTCCCAAAGATGCGAATGCCTGGGCAGAGCGTGGCGGATACGGTGCCGGGAGCGCAACATCTGGCGGCAATGTTCAGTACAGCCAGATTGGTGGCCACGCCGACCTGATGCCTCCCCGCCATCCTTACGCCAACCCAGGCCCATCTTCATCTATCCCTAAGCCGCGTCCCAATTTCACCAAGCTTGGTGCGCATTACCTCGAAGCCTTTTAACAGAACCGCTTGGCTAACTGTTTGCTGTAGATCTTATCAAATATGATACCCCGTATCTCGGCCCTCGTATTCAGCTCATGCTGTCGCAGATCCAGTTCAAGCTCAACGTGGAGGAGCAGTATCTCAAGGGAATCGAGAAGATGGTTCAGCTATACGGCATGGAAGGAGATCGCAAGAGCAAAGCTGATGCTGCCGCTAGAAGAGTTGAGAGCAAGCAAAAGATTCTGCTGTTGAAGCAGGCCATGAAGCGCTACGAGGAGTTGCACATCGACATGGACACATCAGATGCCCAGGATGGTATGTTTTGGAACTTTCACGCTTGCTGGACTGCCCCTGACTAATGTTTCCTAGATGACTCTATCAACATGCCCAACCTCCGCAAGCCTCTCTCTGGTCAGCTCACCATTCGTGTCGGACAAATCAAGGACGTTGATCACGCATCCATGAGTCGCTTTAGCCGAGGGCCTGAGACTTTCATCGCTGTCAAGGTCGAAGACAACGTTGTGGCCCGCACGAGAGTGACCAGGACCGACAAATGGGAAGCCGAATACCACACTCTCGAAGTCGACAAGGCGAACGAAATCGAACTTACTGTGTACGATAAGCCTGGCGAGCATGCCATTCCTATTGCCATGCTCTGGGTCAGAATCTCCGACATTGCCGAGGAAATGAGAAGAAAGAGGATCGAAGCAGAGATTAACAGCTCTGGTTGGGTATCGGCCGACCGTATGGGTGCTCCGCCGGCGCAATTCCCAATGAACCCTCAACAGCAGCAGCAGTCAATGGGCGGCCCCCCTCCCTCTCCTGGTATTGGAGGACAGCAAGGTCAACAAGGACAACCTCCCATGGCAAATCCCCCGATCGCTCAGCAGCCCATCGACGGCTGGTTCAATCTCGAGCCTGCCGGTCAGATCCAACTGTCTTTGGGATTCCTCAAGGAAAACAACGCCCGTCGCCCCGTCAACTTGCAAGGTCTCGGCCGTGTGGGTGCTGTTCGTCAACGCAAGGAGGAGGTGCACGAGATGTACGGACACAAGTTTGTTCAACATCAGTTCTACAACATCATGCGTTGCGCCCTTTGCGGAGACTTCCTCAAGTACTCGACTGGCATGCAGTGCGAGGACTGCAAGTACACTTGCCATACTAAATGCTACTCTAGCGTTGTCACCAAATGTATTAGCAAGAGCAACGCTGAAACGGACCCGGACGAAGAGAAGATCAACCACCGCATCCCCCACAGATTCCAGGCCTTCTCAAACATGACGGCCAACTGGTGCTGTCACTGCGGTTACATCCTGCCCTTTGGCAAGAAGAACTGCAGAAAGTGTGCAGGTGAGTTTTTGGATGTATTAAGTAGACTGCAGACAAAGCTGACTCTGAGTAGAATGTGGTCTCACGGCACACGCGGCATGCGTACACCTTGTTCCCGACTTCTGTGGAATGTCCATGGCCGTAGCAAACCAGATTTTGGAGGGTATCAAGTCTACTAGAATGATCTCGAAGAACAAGACTTCCACTTCCCTGAGCGACCGAACGCTGAGGCAGAAACCGACAAGCCCCACAAGCACTATTGGCTCTCCTCATAGTGGAGGTCAACCATATGCTGGAGGATCTCCGGAAGCAACCGAGGCTGCCAAGTTGATGTATCAACAGCAGCAGCAGCAGTCTCCTCCTGGCCAGCGACCTATGCACCCTGATCGTACTTCTTCAAGCACGGCGGCGGCGGCGGCAGCGACAGCGGCCATGAGCGGATCAATGGCTTCCCAGCAAAAGCCTCAGTCTCAGGACTATTCAAGTTACGGTGGACGCCCCGGTTACCCGGCCCAGGCCGAGCAGCCAGACTCGTACAACAGCGGCGGACCTAAGTATAACCCGGCAGACTACGCGCAAGTCAACCAGCAAGCTGGATATGGCCAACATCCTCCTGCGCAACAGCAGCAACAGCAGCGTCCTGTCCAGCAGCAGCCACCGCAGCAGCAGCAGCAGCAGCCTCCTCCTCAACAATACCAGCAACCTCCCCAGCAGCAAATGTACCAGCAGTCGCCCGTCTCCTCGCCTAAGCTGCAGGAGCCGCCTCAGATTTCACCCATCGCAACATCTGGGGGTGTTCCTAGCTCTGGCGCTGGTCGTAAGCCGTTGCCTTCCGCCACCGATCCTGGAACTGGTCAACGTATTGGTCTTGACCACTTCAACTTCCTGGCTGTGCTTGGTAAGGGTAACTTCGGAAAGGTCATGCTTGCGGAAACGAAGCGGTCCAAGAGGCTTTATGCTATCAAAGTGCTAAAGAAGGAGTTCATCATCGAGAATGACGAAGTGGAGAGCATTCGCTCTGAGAAGAGAGTGTTCCTCATCGCCAATCGGGAAAGGCACCCATTCTTGACTAATCTTCACGCATGTTTCCAAACCGAGACCCGTGTGTACTTTGTCATGGAGTATGTTAGCGGTGGTGATCTCATGCTACACATTCAGCGAGGCCAATTCGGCACTAAGCGAGCTCAGTACGAAGCCTTCATCCATCTATTGCCAGAACTCAACTAACCGAATTCTCAGGTTCTACGCTGCCGAGGTTTGCTTGGCGCTCAAGTACTTCCACGAGAACGGTGTCATCTACCGTGATCTGAAGCTTGACAACATTCTTTTGACCCTGGACGGACACATCAAGATTGCCGATTACGGTCTTTGCAAGGAAGACATGTGGTTCGGCTCGACTACTAGCACATTCTGCGGCACCCCGGAGTTTATGGCACCTGAGGTATGTTGATTGTGATTTTTGCTACCACTCCCGCTGACGATTGGTCCAGATATTACTCGACAAGAAGTACGGCCGTGCCGTTGACTGGTGGGCATTCGGTGTCCTGATTTACCAAATGCTTCTTCAGCAATCACCCTTCCGAGGAGAAGACGAGGATGAAATTTATGATGCCATTCTTGCCGACGAGCCTCTGTACCCCATTCACATGCCCAGAGACTCTGTGTCGATCCTTCAGAAGCTCCTGACTAGAGAGCCCGACCAGCGACTTGGCAGTGGTCCCACGGACGCGCAGGAAATCATGAACCAGCCGTTCTTTAGGAACATCAACTGGGATGATATCTACCACAAGCGTGTTGCGCCACCCTTCATGCCACAGATCAAGAGCGCGACCGATACCAGCAACTTCGACTCCGAGTTCACAAGCGTTACGCCCGTCTTGACTCCTGTCCAATCAGGTATGTGGATACTCATTATAATCACGAAGACTTCTGTAGCTAAACATATCATAGTCTTGTCGCAAGCCATGCAAGAGGAGTTCCGTGGCTTCTCTTACACTGCCGACTTTGACTAGAGGGATGATGGAAATGAAATTGAAATGAGCACTGGATGTTGCTGAATCCTTTCAGTGACATCGTCGACGAAGGTAAGAAGAAGGAGAATGCCAAGTAGGTATAGCGTGAATAAGCGCCAGCTCGATGTGCGCCATATAGGCATGTCGAGCACGAGCGGTGCTTGGTTCTGCTGCGTGAAGACGCTGCGCGTCGTCGGGGTTGTGACGATAAACCGCAGGCGGAAAAAACGAAGTGATGGGCGAACACGATACATGAAGCAAAAAGTAGGATGGCCCCGACTGTTCACCAGTGAACATTGGAAAAGGGGCCAAGTCGGTGGAATCGTGACTAGAGGTATATCAGCGAGGTTTTGCGCACCCCTGCCGCAGCTTCTTTAATAGACGGAACATTCAGCGGATGACATGATTGCTTGCCCGTGTCTCCTGATGATTGCTGTGGTTTTTGTTCTTGTGCCAATATCAAAGAGGATGTCCCCCATGCTCTCTATATGGTATCATATTGTACAGTTGTATTTACAATCACGTTCTAGTGGTGATGTGATTTTGTTTCATGTCCTTCTTACAAGCAGCAATGCCAGAGCCGCCGCGAACGTCGCCCCAGCAGCAGCGCCCTCGAGAGCCAGGATGGACGCATCGCGCATGCGGAGATCGATGCGGCGCTCACTGTACAGATCTGCGATTCTCGCCTTGAGGAACTCTGGGTTGGAAAGGAGCTCGCGCCACGACTTTGTCTCGGGGACTTGCTCCTCCAAGACCTCGAGCGCACTCGCGACCTCGCGCTCCATCTCGTGCTGGACGGCCGGCTCCTCGACCTTTGCTGCTAGGAGCTCCTCCGCCTCCTCTGCCGTGGGTTCCGTCGCAGCCACCGGCGGTGTCTCTTCCTCTACCGCCACAGGTATCGTCGCTGGCGTCGCCGTCGTCGCCGCCGCCGCCGCCGTGGTGGACGCCATGTACGCAGCCACATCATCAGCAGTAGCGGCGTCGTCATACGCCTCCCTCTGCGCCAACGCGGCCTTCAACCCCGCCAACTCGGCCGTCACGCCCTCGAGCACGGCTTTTTCTTCCTCGACGACGCCGCGCACAAGCCGTCTGCGCTTCCACGGTTCCGCGACGAATTGCAGCACGATGAAGAGGAGGACGTTGACGCCCATCAACCCCCACGTTCCCCACGTCGACGCGCGGCGGATGCGGTCGGACCAGATTTGTTCCTCGTGGTAGCGTTTAAGGATCCCCGCGTTGAGTTGCTGGCCCAGCGCTTGCTCCGCGTGTTCTGCGTCCGTAAGGGCTTCGGCCGCGGCGGAGACTTCTTGTTCGAGGGAGTGGTCTTGGCGGTAGAGCTGGGTGAAGCGTTCGAGGTCGATGGGCGACCACATTTCTTTGCGCGCGAGGAGGGTGGTGACTTCCCGTTGGGTCGTGGCGCGTTTGGCGTTTGTGGTTTTGTAGGTTAGGCGGGCGGTGCGGACGAGGTCTTGGGCTTCGGCTAGGCGGGTTTCGAGGAGCGTGTTTTGGCGCTTGATTTCTTCGATGGGACTGTAGCCTGTTAGGGTGTTTAGGGTCGTTGAGGCGGTTAGAAGGCGGGTTTGGGCTGTGTCGAGGAGGTGGGAGAGTTTTTCGGAGAGGGCTGGGGGGAGGGCGGTGTAGATTTTTGTTGCGGTGTCTGGGAGGGGGTCGTCTGGGTTGGAGGAGGGTTGTTTGGGGGTGTCGGGTTTGGGTGAGGAGGACGAGGAGCTCGTGGTGGTGTCATTGCCTGGTGTCGAGCTTGAGGACGAGTCGGGAGCTGTGGTAGAGCTTGAGGATGTCGCATCGGAGCTCTGAGCGGATGGATCGCTGCTCTTCGTCGTCGTCGAGGAGGTCGAGGTCGGGGAAGCTTGCTTTGGCTCTTCTTTCGGCGGCGGAGGAGCGAAGATGGGTGGCAGGTCCGAGTAGAGGCGTCGAGAGGCGGGCGACGACGATGACGACAATGCGAAGTTATGATGGTGCGGAGGCGGGAGAGCCGCGAGGGTCCTCCATCGTGAGAGGTTTGCCGTTCCGAGGCGGGCGTGGATAACTAGGCGCGACGCCGGCCTGGCGATGGAGTGCATCCTCTCCCGTTGAAGGTTTGTCGGAGTACGACGATTGTGTAGCGACTAAGCCGAGCTTCTCTTTTTCCTTCGTTACCTCAGGTAGGCAAAGAAAGGAGAAAAGGGCCCAATTGGCGGGTTTGGGGGATGGGCCGAGGGTGGTTCAGAACGCACGGGGAAGCCGGGTCGGCGGACGGAGGAGGGAATTTGGGGGGAGAGGTTTAAAAGTTTGGACGAGGAGTGAGGCAAGGTGGTTAGCTGCGGTGCTTCTGGGGCGGGAGCGAGTGGGCTTTTTCGGGGCTGGATTCGGCATCGTGTTGAGCGTGCCGGGCGGGTCAGAGCTGGTTTTCTGCCGGAGAGGTAGGTTCCCGTCAGTTGGGGGTTTGGTGGTGTTTCACCGCCTGCCGTGGCTGGTGCTGTGCTCGGGCCGGTGCCGGGGGGGAAAGGATGTCCACTGGGAAGTGGGGCTGAAGAAGGGCGAAGAAGAATGGCGGCCGGGATGTCTACCGAGCCGAGCTGTGTCGCTTTTTTGAACGAGCATCGGCTTCCATTAGTGACAACATTATGTTCGGGGCTTTTACAATTGGCTTTGATTCGGTCTTTTGTCCACTTGAATCTAGTTCAAGTATCTTAATAGCTGTAAGTCGAAGAAGTCATTTACTTGACCCTGAACAGTTTCCATGATGTTTTGGCAACTTAGAAAACTCTGGAAGTGAACCCTAAGAATGGATTGAAAATTAAATTGAATCGAATAAATTTGTTTTCACAGCTGGTCATCTGGTCAACTGGATTCAATCGTTCTGTTTAGCTCGTTGACTGAAAACCATTCCTCATCTTGAAAGGTCTGAGAATACGGCACGACACCCACGTGTTGTCAATTACAGCCAAGAATGGTCCTCGACTCGGAGACTGGTCCGCCAAGTACTCGTCTAGTAAGCGCTGAAGCAACTACCATATTCCCGCAGCCACAGGCCATCTGCGTCCTCAGGGTCCATTGTCCGCGCGCTGACTCGTTACAGGGGTCCGTCAAAGCGACGGTCGGACGGGAGGGGCGGATGTCGTCACTGGAGCGGGACTAACGGTGGATTTTCCCTCTGACTTGGACCAGGTTTTGTTAGAGACTGGAGAGTATTATTGAGTGTTAAGGAGAGTCTTGCTTGCTGTGTTCCCAGCTTGACTCAAGGATGGGCCATAACGGTAGCAAGGACGACCAATAAGTACATCCAGTGAGAGGCGCGGAGTATCTCAATTTGAAGCCTCCGGTTGGGCATGTAGCGTGCCGTTCTACGTCAAGCATTGATGGGATTTTCCTCAATCTGTATCTAAGGTACTCGCGCACGCAAGGATCTGTAGTCTGTGCTAAATCTGTTGGCAATCCTCCGAGCCTTTTAGATCTTACCCCTCCCCCTCCATCTAAATTTCTAAAGTCTTCAAGAAAGAAACACAGCCGTCCACCCACTTTCCGCCCACGACCGCACTGAGAAACATTCACTTGTTTTCTCTCCATCCCTCCAAGCATTCTAGCTTTTGACACTCCTCTCCAGCATCTACACACTCCAAGACCACCAAGATGGGTTCCCACGTCAGCGAGACCCCGGCCCTGGCCACGAACCCAAACTTCATCTTCTTCACCGACTTTGACGGCACAATCACCCTCGAAGATTCCAACGACTTCCTCACAGACAACGTGGGCTACGGCTACGAGAACCGCCGCGCGGGCAACCTCCTCGTCCTCGAGGGCAAGAAGCACTTCCGCGACAGCTTCCAGGAGATGATGGACTCGGTCAAGCTCCCCTTTGACCAGTGCATCGAGTACCTCAAGAGTAACGTCAAGCTCGACCCCGTCTTCAAGGAGTTCTACACCTGGTGCCGCGCCAATAACGTCCCCGTCGTGATCATCTCGGGTGGCATGAGGCCCATCATCCGCGCGCTGCTCGTGCAGTGGCTGGGCGAGGAGGAGGTGGATGGACATATCCAGATTGTGAGCAACCAGGTTGCGGCGCGCGAGGGCAAGGCGAGTATCAACGAGGAGGGCGGGTGGCAGATTGTCTATCACGATGATAGCGTCCACGGGCACGACAAGTCGATTGAGCTGCGCAAGTACTCGTCGCTGCCTGAACGGCCTGTCATGTTCTACGCTGGTGATGGTGTTTCTGATTTGTCTGCTGCGCGCGAGACGGATTTGTTGTTTGCCAAGCGCGATAAAGGTGAGACCTTTTTTTTTTTTTGGCAGTCGTCTCTGGATTACCCCGCCCCCACCATGATTTCGCTTTGGCGCGATATCGACTGTGATGTCACTGACAATGATTGGTAGATCTCGTCGCGTACTGCGAAAAGGAGGGCATCTCTTTCGTCACCTTTAACGACTTTTCCGATATCCTTTCCACGGTCAAGCAGATTGTCGAGGGCAAGCTCAGCGTCAAGGACGCCGCGCGGGGACGTATTCACTAGACGATGAACGTAACGGAACGATGGGCATATAGAGGAATACAAGATGGGTCTCTAGAGAGGCAGAGAACAGAGGCGGTATAGATACCAATAAAGCGATGATGAGAGAATAGGAATTTCCGTTTTTGATGTTAGATATAGACATAGACTGGGTCTACGGGATATACAACGAGCAATGCCACACTGTTGCCTTTGATTATGTTTTGCACGTGTACAGCTTTCACAATATTGACGCCATAAGACCCTGCTATAGGACATGGCCAATCCGAACTGTTTTCATATCTATACTGTTATAGCAGTGTAAAGCAAACGCTTTGGTTGGTCAATTTCGTTATGTTTCTATCACGGTCTTGGAGTCTTCCTGCCGGTCTAGCCATGTAGTTTGGTCCTATATAGCAAACCATTCTTCGTTTCGTTGATTCGAGGTCTTCCCCCTATGCCAGTTCTTTTGTAGACCACCCTATTACACGCTCCTCTTCCTGTTGTGCGGCACTCCATACCACGAAGCCATCATCAAAGCAAACAACCCAATCGCAATAGGATGCAAGACCCAAGGCCCAGCAGCCTGCGCAACCATACCCGTCGTAAACGGCGCCACCGCACCCCCGGAACTTCCAAAGGCACTAATCACCCCCATCCCATTCACTCTCTCCCGCCTCGTCATCCCCCTCATAAACACAGCCGCCGCACAGGGATAAATCGGCCCCAACAACAACCCGACAATCGCAACAGACACAGCGGGGCCGACGACGTTGGGCACCCACCACACGAGGAGCTGAAAGACCGCAGCACCAGCGGTGGCGAGGAACACAAACAGCTTCTCGCCGACGCGGTGGGCCGGGTGCGAGAGGCAGAGCCGGCCGATGGTGATGCCCGCCCAGAAGCCGGCCGTGACGTAGCCTACGGCTTCTGGGTCGCCGTTGCGTGTCGCGATGAGGAAGGAGATGACCCAGCCTGAGATGGAGACCTCGGCGCCCTGGTAGGCGAAGATGAACAGGGCGCCGAGTAGGACGATGCGGATCCTGAGGGCGGTGAACATGCTTAGGAGCTGGGAGGAGGACTTTGTTGATGCCACGGCCTCGGCGGGGGTGGGCTGGGCGCCGCCGGCGGGGAGGTCACGCTCGTAGTGCCAGAAGGTGTAGGTCGAAAACACGCCGTTGAAGATGGCGAGGCCGAGGGGAATAAAGTAATACGTGCTCCACCGTGCCCTCGCAGCCGTGACGAGCGCGGTAGCGATCAGGGGGCCGACGGTGCCGCCGGCCCCGTAGGCGCCGTGCATGAAGCCGAGGGCGGTGGTGGCGTTGCGGAGGGAGCCGCAGAAGACGTTGTTGACGGCGAGGGTGATGGACATGCCGAAGCCGATGAGGAAGAAGGAGACGACGACGACGGGGAAGGGGGCCTGGGCGAGGATGGGCGCGTAGGCGACTGTGATGATGGATTGGGCGAGGGCGAGGAGGCGGGCGCGGCCGAGTTTGAGGCGGAGGGATTCGAGGAAGACGGCGCCGAAGATGAAGCCTATTGCGTTGCCTATGAAGATTAGGGATACGATTGCGTAGCCGATGTCGTAGTGTCTGGTGTGTGGTGTTAGTCGTCTCCTCATGGCCGCTGGTCTAAGGTGGAAGGGGCTTACTTCTCCATGTAGGGGATCAAGGCACCCGGCGCGCTGTCGTTGAGTCCGTTGCCAAAGTTCATGAGGCACGATGCCGCCATGCGGTAACGGTTCATGTGCGGGTCGGTGATGCTCTGCAGGACGTCAAATGCCGTCGGGGTCGAGGGCCGGCTCATCTCGACATCGCTTCCGGATCCGGGGGTCCGGGACGGCGATTGTGCCCGGGACGGGCCGGCACTGCCCCGCGGTGTCTCGGCCCTACTCTTGTTGTTGTAGTTGGCGGTGGCGGTGTCGATGCGGGAGAGCTCGATGGAGGCTCCGTCGCGGTGGTGCGGTGCGCCGGGGTAGGTACGCGGAACGGCCTTGGCAGGGGCGGCGGGGAGGAGGGGAGGGTGGGCGTCTAGGTCGCGGGATTCGACCTCGACGAGGGTCTTGAACATTGTGGCCTCCATGTTTAGGGTTGAAGGGGGGAAACTTGACGGGATTGGGTTCAGGGTTCTGGTGGGAACACACTGGCCAAGGCCTTAGTTGAGAGAAGTGAGAGTGGAAGGGACCAAGGTGAGAGGAGTTCAATGGTTCAAGTATTATGTGAGTAGTATGAAAAGATAAGTGAGTCACCAAAGTACGTATGTAAGTAGGTAAGTACCTAGAAAAAGCTTTTACAAATAGGGCAGGTAATCCGATTAAAAGGCTAAAAGACCACCTGAGGAGGTTGCAAGATTGTACAGTAATGGAAAATCTCACGATAGTCGCAGCCACCGTGGATCCTTGACAAAACTGTTCAACTTTCCCAGAGCGTCATGGCGTCGAAGGTGTGCGAGCCTCCTCTCCCCTTGCGAGTCGGGGTTTTATTATCTCAAGCCTATGAACAAGAAGCATATGCAGGGTTCAGATAGTCCTGCATGGAACCCCACCCGGGCTTTAGAAGAGAATCACGAAAAAGCTTTCAAGGCTCGTGAGACGAAAGGGAATGGGGCCCGGTCCCGTGGACTTGCGGCCTTGTACTCTGCCGGCGAGCTGGAGTTGGTCTAGCTTGCCATGGATGTAAGGAGAGGGGGACTTGATGGCATACGATAGATATCCCCGGTTGGAAAGCACCAGACATGTGGGGGGCGGGCCGATTGCGATTGGGGATCTCTTCGAGACGGTGTGAAAGCAAACGGACTGCTGCAGCGATAGGTATGCAAGATTTCTTGGTGATGACCACTGCTCTTTGTCCACTTGGAAGTACCTTACGAATATCGAGTAACAGATGATGAGCGAGCTAGACAGCTATTGTGTCACGAGCAATGATTGATCAGCGTCAATTACTAGAGCAAAGGTGAGCACTAGCTACGGGAGGTTGGGGAGAGAGGGAAAATGGTTTCCAGACTCTTTTGGAGGGGGTTTCTTGATGGCGGACCCGAGACCGTGTGGGAAAAGACATGTTAGCGCGGCCAGGTGGTCGGTCCAGTGTTCCTGTCCCCAGTGCCGGGGGCGCGGAGAAGCTCCGCCGGCAGAAGCTCGGGTCGTCTGCGGGGTGTTCGCCGGTTGAAGATGCCGGTGTTTTGCCATATCCATCGTGGTCAATTTCTTGCCGAGTGTGATACCAAACGGAGTGAATGAGGTAAGAAGGTCAAGCACCAATTTGGTAAATGTTTCAATTGCTCTTCAAGACGGTAGTTGGAGTGACTGAACGCTTCTCGACTTTTGGTCTGGAGACGAAGGATCTGAGCCACCTTGGAAGGTGCCCGGAGTACGTACTCTATCACCCCGCCTCCATCCTCCAAAAAAAAAATATCCATAGAAGGGAAAATTACCCCACCATTGTCACTCACCACCACAACCCAAAAAAAAAGTTCCCTGATCCCATCATCTTGCTTAATCTCGAACATCGTGCCAGCCAGCCAGCCTGCCAGCCTGCCAAGCCACATAACCATGGGAAAACCAAAGCGCTCCGCCCTTCAGGCGGCCGAAGACACCCTGACCCCTCCCGCCACCCTGGAAAAGAACCAGGCCATCGTGCGCGTCGTGAAAGCCGAGGGCAACAACCTGTACGCCTGCGAGCTGCCCAATAAGAAGGACTTTGTCCTCGAGCTCGCCCAGCGCTTCCGCAACACCATCTGGATCAAGCGCGGCGGCTTCGTCCTGGCGGAGAGGTATGATGAGAATGACGGGCGCGTCATGGGCGAGATCATCAACGTCGTTCGCGACGAGAAGGCCTGGCGCAAGCAAGCTTACTGGTGAGCTTAGCTTTCTCTTTCCACAGTATCTGCTCTAACGCTGCATCACTTCACTTGCTGACTGACGTACTGCCAGGCCCAAGGAGTTTGTAAAGACCAACACGTACGAAGACAGCGACGAAGAAGAGTCCAATGTTGGCAAGATGCCGCCATCCGATTCCGAGGACGACTACTGATCCGAGATGCGACTTTACTTTTACATGACTTGAATGATTTCCCTGTTCAAACACGACGACAGCCACGGCATCACCGCTTCTTCGACTCTGGCTTCTGGACCGGCGCCCCTTCATCCGCCGTGCCGAACCACGTAGCCGCCACAGTGACCGCCATCACGCCCACGACAAACTCGGAACTCAAGTCCGTGCTGGGGTACACGTTCCACGCCCACTCCTGCGCCGCCCAGAGGATATACACCACGTAAAAGGGGAGACCGCTACGCCAGAGCAGGTACGGCGTCGACCAGGCTAGATAGGCGTAGAACTGGTAATGGAGAGACCTCGCAAAGAGGAGGCCCATGACGTTGGCCGAGAGGATCGTCGTGAGGATGTAGCGCGGCGTCACACGGCTGGCCACCTGGGCCTCCTCCAGCGCCGAGAAGGGGGATTTGCCCTGGAGCATCGCCGGGAGGAGGGAAGACAGGGGTCTCTGCGTGGGATTGAGCCACCGCGTGAAGACGAAGACGAGCAGGGCCGTCGCGTGCAGTCCTAGTAGTGCAATTGAAAAGGGCTTGCTGAGAAAGGTCTCCTCGCCCACGAAGCGCCAGTTGACCGTCCACTTGAAGAAGAATTGCCGTGACAGCTCAAAGGCGCGGCCGAGGTACCCCTTTGCGTTGTTCGAGACGAAGGGGATCCCAATGACGATTTGTACCTGTGCCATGAGCCATGCCGCGCGGAGACTTCCTCCGAAGCCGCGTCCGAGGAAGAGCACGATGCCCACGGCGGGAAGGACGAGTAGCAGCGACATTTTGATCCCCAAGCCCCAGCTGTATAAGACGGCGCCCGGTGTCCATAGTCGCTTCTGGAAGAAGAAGATGGCGAGCCAGAGGAAGAGGGTCGCAAAGCAGTCGTTGAAGCAGCGCAGGACAAAGACGCTGTGGAGGCGCTTCGAGAGGATCAGGAGCGGGAAGATGTAGGGCGGGACCTGAATGTGGGAGAGAATCGTCAGCATTCAAACGTCGAGCTAGCTTGGTTCTGGGGGCAGGAGCAGATGGCGTGCGTACCTTTGCTTGCCAGTAGCAGGCCATCACGACGGCAAGAGTTGCCAGGTATAGGATAGCAAACAGCTGCTGGGCCAGGAAAATATTCTTGCCCTCGTCTGTGAGGTAGTATAGGCCCGTGTATGTGTACACGTGGGCAGCAGGGTATACGAGAGGTCCGGTGCCGCCTTTGATCTTGGTATAATCGCGCTCGCCCGAGACGTATTGGGAGATTTGTTCCATGTAGGCTACCCAGTCGATTTCCGTATCTGAAATGCCACGTCAGTAAACCATCCGGCCACTTCCCTTCTGGAGTTGGGCGCTACTCACAGGGGATCTTCCAGATAATGAGCCCACAGAGGACTGCATCCAGGGCAAGGAGGACGGGCGGAATGGCCTTGGAGAGCGCATGCCGGCCATTGGCTACGTCCAGCACAAAGCGAGACGCTTGCACGTAGATTGGAGGCGCTGGATCGGCCATGGTGAGGCTTCACGGGCTGAATTGCGCAGGTTGGGAAAGACTGATGATGCACCGGGGAGCTTCTGAAAGCTGTCGCGAACGGCAGGTGGAGGTTGCACTCGTGGCTGCAGGGTCCAAATTGCACGGTGCCGCCTTTGCCATCTTGGGGGCCGACCACACTGTGCTGAAAGAGGCATTCATTGTCAGACGGCTTTGGTTTGTCAACTTCAGCTCACTGCTTATTATTGTTTCTTCTAATTCTTTATCCGCATCATATAATTCAATGGCCATTCAAAAACTCAAATCTAACCTCACACCATGCAACAAGCTTACAATTTGCTTGACCGATCCCAGGAAAAGAGCTTGGGCTCAGCAGCCAAAGTCTCACCCTTACCCGCCCGAATCTGGTTCACCAACTCAACGACACCCTCAGCCGTACCATACGACCCCTGGTATCCCCATCCAGCATGGCCATAATGATGCACAATCGGCGTCCCATCCGCCAACGTCGTCTTGTCAATCTCGAGCCTGAGCCCGCCCTCGCGGTACGGCCGTAGACCGACGCCGTGGCGGATGATGCTTAGCGCCTCGATGCCCTTACCGCCCGTCAAGCTAGGACACAGCTCGACGCACCGCTTCATGATGCGGATCGCAATGTTGGGATCCGGGTTGGCGTCCCAGTTGCCCTTGTCGTACGTCCCGCCCAGGATCGTCCCGCCGCCCGCCGCCCGAGTCATCATGTAACACACCTCGGTCGGCCCGTCGTCCGTGCCGGAGATGGTCGCCATCGGCTCGACCTCGTTGCGCACGACGACGACCTGCCCGCGCGCGGGGACGACCTTTTTGTCTTCCACGCCGCCTAGCTTGCACGCTAGCAGTCCGGAGCTGTTGACGATGATGTCGGCGGGTCGGCCCGAGTGGTGCAGCGCCGTGAGCTCGTTGACGTGGGCTATGTCGCCGCGCTTGAAGACGACGCCGTTTTTGCGGCACTGGCCTACGAGGTAGGGCAGGTAGAGCGCCGTGTTGATGCAGACCGAGGTGAACTCGGAGCCGGAGTAGGCGTTGGGCGGCAGCTCGTCCTTGTTCAGTTCCCGGTAGTCTGGGAGGACATTGCGGTACCACGGGTCCACGGCGTAGAGCGCGTCGTACGGGTTGCCGCCGGCCTCGATGTCCTTCTTGCGTCTGAAGACGCGGCTCTCTGGTGAGAGGGTCAGCGTTTTGGGGGATTCATGCACGGTTGCTGCGCGCTAGGTAGAGACTACGCACTTTGAAAGTGAATTCCGGCCTCGGGGACCTCGGCGGCGAGACGGTTCAGCTCAGGCCACGTCCTGCGTTCCCACCTGCTGTCAAACTCTGGGGCCATGCTGTGAATCTACCTTTAGTTCCATGTCTCTGGCGCTGAGGGAGGCGCGTGATCTTACGGCAGCACGTTGGCACCAGCCCAGGGCGAAGTGTACTCGATATCATAGTCGCCGGGCATGTGTTTGGAGACAACAGTTATGGAGTTGCCTTTACTCTTGGATAGCAGCAGGGCGGCGGTCAAGCCTGAGACGCCGGCGCTGGACACGGTGAGTGACTGGATATGGAGAAGGTCTGCAGTCTGCTTACCCGAGAACAACAATGTTGTTGGTCATTGTGAAATCTTATTGTTGCAATATGAGTGATCGACTCTAAATGACATGATTGTCTCATAAGCAAAGTCGGTGAGCCGGAGAGGTATATATGAGTAAGTACCTTTGTGAAGGTATTGTTGGTTGCCAGCTTCTTTATTTTTGAACGTAATTGGACAGATTAGATCTGCTCAGCTAGCTCCAAAGTATTGTGGAAGAATCAAGAGAGTGACCTCGCGGCTTTGAAGTATGTCAACCAACGCCTTTTGATGACTTATGTCTGCATGTACTCACGCTATCGCGCCATGTTTATCTCCCAATTCACACCATGTTTGTCGATTCAGGGCGCCCCCCCTTCCCGCGGGCAAGTGTCCCCGCCCACGCCGAGCCGAAAACCGGCGCGGGGCCCAACGGTCATGAACATTGCTGCATTTTTTGTCTATTTTTTGAGTCACCTCCCGGCCATAGAGCGGAAACCGACCGCCAAGAGCCGATGAATGCCGTTGCGCGTCCGCCAACCTGACGATAGATTAGTGGTCATTTAAATGGACAGCCTGTTGCGCTTCAAATATCGAGATATTTAATCCTTGAAAAACAACCCCAGTGCACTGCAAACATATTCTCCAAGCAAGGCTTGGGGAAGTAGATGACGTCTGTACAAGATTATCATCCATCATGCCAATATGCTGCGATATCATGACAGTCGTCTTCCATCAGTATGAGTTTGCTTGTATTGACTGGTATGGTCCTGGACGACATAACAACAGCATCCCCAAGTGGCCAATACCGTACCGTGTACGGCTAGAAAGTGCGGCAACACTGTTCTCGGCCTGGACCTCCTGCAAGTCTTCAGATCAAAGTTTTTTGCTGTTCTTGTTTGGTATCTTGTATCATGGACAGGTTCTACACGGATAGCTGCCTTCCTCTCTGCTGCCTCCTCTTGACGCAAATACGTTGATTATCTACTCCTGCTTCGCCTCCTCAGTCGATCCAGCAGTCTTCTCAGTGTCGGCCTTCTGAGTCTTAAGGGTCAGCACCTCCTGAGCCTCGGGGCTTGCGGCAACAGTTGCAATGTTCTTTTTGAGGACAGCGGGGTTGGCGCCGACGAGTTCCTGATCCTTCTCCTGATCCTTGAAGAACATGAAAGTAGGCATGGCCCGAATGCCGAGCTCCTGGCTCACGTCGGGGACCTCGTCGACATCAATCTTGACAAAGTGAATGCCTTGGTATTCCGGCTTCTCGGATTCCCTGTGGGAAAGACAGGGTAGTCAGATAGTGCTCCGTGGGGCATTTTTGGCAGTTCTGACTGTGGATTACTTACTGGGCCAGAAGGGGTGCGATGGCCTTGCAAGGACCGCACCAGGTGGCAAAGCAATCAAGGAGAACAACTCTGTTGTTCTTGAGGGTCTCCGTCCATTCCTCGGCGCTGAAGCACGAACATCGAGGTCAGCATTTTGTACGATATTGTGGCGATCCTAGGTTCCTTTCGAGCGTGCCAATCAAAGACCGGGAAAGCGACATGAAAGGGTCAGTGTAAACTCACTTGCGGACGTTGTGGACAACCATGTTGGGCGATGTAGAGTGGAAGGTACGGTATGTTGTAGAAAGTGAAGATGTCGCGATGCGTTGAAACGGGCGGAAGAGTCTGGTAGACATGTGGGATGGAAGGAGGGGCACTTTGGCGGTGACGCGGGAGGAAACAAACTATATACCTCGGAGGGGGGAAGGAACGCGTGTGGTTGGGCGAGCAATGGGCGTCTGATAGTGTAATGCAGCAAAAGTTGAGAAAGGAGAGCTCAGGTCGGGTTTGGTGCTTACCAGTTGTGTGGAATGCGTGTTACCGGGACGGAGTACGGAGTAGGGTACCGGTAGTGACATGGACGCTGCTAGTAAATTTCCTTCTTGATTTGTCAGGGGTACAGGGGATCGATGACGCGAGATGCATCCATCCGCGGGGCACCCGATACACATATACTTGTACTCTCGTAGTAGTCCTCATACCAGCACAAGTATTATATCGGGTCTCTTTCCTGTAGGTACCCCTCCAGGTCGCTGTCCCTTCCCATTTTCTTTCCCCTGCCGCAACGGCTCGGCCGTCGCGTGGAAGTCAGCTCGGCTGTCGCTGCCTGTGATGTTTCCACAAGATAAGTTACAATGCACCTTCCAGATTGCCTTCAAACACCGATAGGCCTCTCATTATGGGCCGCTTCTTCTCTTACCCATTACCTTGCTGAATCAGCCCAGCTCGGGCTTCTCATCCTGGGAAGACGGCGATTACTCGGTGACCCATCGCCTCCATCTGGCTCATTCTTCACAAAATCTTGCACGCAATTCCACTTGGCATTGGTAACGATGCAGTTTTTTGAGGCTGAATAATCCTTGCGACTACCGAGTCCCGCTGCAGATCCAACCTTGCAACGCCCTACTCCTGCATGACAAAGCCGCATCCTACCTTACCTTCGTTAAAGCACGGCGGCAGCAAACAATCTCCCAAAGCTATCTACGACCGACTTTCAGTCTCAAGTTATCCCCAACACGCCCTTCAATCATTGCCACGTACTGAACAAATCAACAATGCTAGTATACCCCATGTCCCGGGCCAGCGAGCGTGGCGAGCCGTCGAGGGTTTCGCGATCGAGGCCTTTGGCTACACTAGACAGGAGATCAACCAACTCCAGCTCGCAGTCTGTCATATCTGACGTAGCCGCCCCCAATCGGCATTCTTGATCTGGATCCGCTCTTCCATCCAAAAGTTGTTTCACTGTGGCCACATCTCCCGATGCTGTGGCGATCATCAAGAGTGTCACGCCTGCCTCATTTTTCTTGTTGATATCATCCAGCTTCCCTCCTGAGATCACCATCCGTACCGAATCGGCCTTTCCCCAGAAGCACATGAACGGCAGAAAATCCCTGGCTGATAATTCTGAATCGTCCTGGAGCCTCTCCATGGTCCTCAAGAGCCAGAGGCTGAACTTCTCATCTGTGGCGATGACTAAAGCCACTGCTTGAACATACCTGCGTCGAGGTAAGCGAACCCCCTTTGCTGAGAGCAGCAGAAGTAGCTGAACATTTTCTTCGAAACTACCACCGAAACTTGACACGTATCTGAATCCATCATACAACTTGCGCCCGGAGCCCGCTGTCTCTTTCACGTTGTTGAGGTAGAAAGCCTTCAGGTCGGTTCCCATGTTGGTATCATAAAAGGCCAACAAAGCTTCCTCAAGGATCTGTCGAGTATGAACGATGGCATCCAAGAAAATCTCCGCCATCGTTACATAACTCAGGGAGCAGCAATCAATCAGGGCTTCCCTGCTGTTTCGCCCTCCTTCGTCTAGTAGTCCCTTTACAGCTGTTTCGTCGTTACGCATTACAGCAGACAAGAACCCCGCTGATGGATCTACCTCATTGGCGGCGTTCTCGGGAAGATACTTCAACGCCACAGCTCGACACCGCGGGTATCCTTCCTCTGTGGCTTGGACCAAGGCTTCTCTGAGAGTTTCCTGGCTATCTCTCTCTCCGGCATTGTGAAGCAGTAACATCTCCAACGTTTCAGCGTAGCCATGGCGAGCAGCATACGCAATGTCCTCCTTATGAACGATCAACCCCCGCGCTAGGAGGCACTTGAGAGCAGGCGCGCTGTGGATGGCGGATCGGGTGAGGGACCAAGTCCTCGATGGAGGGCCTTGCACTGCAGGATGGATTTCCATCCCAGTAGCAAGCAAGAAGTTGACGACTTCCATTCTTCCCAGCTCAGATGCGGCCGCTAAAGACTTATGCAGCTGAAGTACTGCAGGATTATATCGACGAAAGATCCATCGAAGCTGATACAAGGGCCTATGACTGGTAACGCATGATTTGTACAGAATATCATTGTCGTTTGCGTCGCGTTGCTCAACGCTGGACGTGCCCGCCTCAAGCAGTCCTCTTGTGGCGACAAAATCTTGCCTCATTGTGGTGAAGTGCGCGTGATGACGACCCAAATATCCGTGAAGAGTTCTCGCATCATTGCCCTCCAGGAAAAAATCTCTATCAGCGTAAAAGTACCACCAATTGCGAAAATATGGCTTCGAAGAATCGCAGATCTTGTTGACGATGAGACCAGTGCTGGACTCGGACTCAGGCAACGAGTTGCCTCCGAGATGCTTTGTCCAGTGATTCGAAGCATACAAGTAGAAGCTTCTTAACCAGTGAGGTAAATCGGCGATGAACGCTTTGTTCGAGGCGACTCGCTTCTCATCTTCCATCGGCAGACTTGGTCTTGTCGGGAGTCCATCGAGCGCGAGAAGTCTGATGCAGCATCTGCCCAAGTTAGACTCTGCCAACGCCAGTTTGATCATCGTCGTCCGCTTCTTTGTCACAGCATCTGCTCTCGAGACAAGGAGAAATTCTCGTGCAGTTTGGTGCACGAGAAATACCGTAGAGTCAATGATTCGAATGAAGAATCCTCCTAGCTGTTTGATTGTGTACTCCGCGTCAGGCTCGAGCTCTCGCTCCAGACCTTCCAGAGAAGTGACATTCTCCCCGAAACTGAGAGCGACGTTAACTTCTTCTAGCTTTAGAGGGCGATTGGCAGCTAGTATTATGCCGAGTAACTTTTGCGAGGCTTCGCGGTCGACAAAGGCTGCCCAGGCGCTTTCGTAAAGCTGATCAAGATCGCCTGGCAAGGAATCTAGTGACTTTTCAATGGAACTGAGTTTCCGCGATTGGAGTCGCTCGATGGCGTCAAACACCAGTGAAACCCACAGGAACGTACGATCTGCCCCTTCGGTCAGGACTTTGGTGACCAATGTGCTGGCCTCCTCGGAGAGTGCGGACGACATTCTGAGCTCGCGGACCCGATGCTCGACAACTCTTTCAACGTCTTTGGACAGCGAGGATGATTCATTTTCTCCTCGCAACCGGATTGAGAGCAAATTCCGAAAGCGGCTCTCGATGCTGGGCCACGGGCGACTTGTTACTAGAAACTTTAGGTTGCCAGTAGGTTTCCCGGAGTTGCTGGTTGACAATGACGCAACAAGCTGGTTGATGAAGCGATTCCTGGACACATCAGAGCACTCATCGAGTGCGTCGACGACACAAACAACGGTGCGATCGCGGACACGGCTGGCCGAGTCACACAAGATTGCCCAGAGCCCCTCAAGATCTTGGGTGAAAGCCGAGGGGTCCTTGCTAGAGAAATTACCCATCGCTGCGTCAACCAATTCCGGGGCAGCGACGAAGAGCTGATGGAGCAAGACGCAGAGAGCCTGGTGGGAGTCCCGACGACTGTCGACGCCGGCCTTGAAGAAAAAGGAGCAGACGATGGACTGCTTTTTTTCCCGGCTCAAGGCGTCCACAAGAAAGCTGGAAAGCACCGATTTGCCGCACCCAGGATTCGCCGTCACCCAGAGAAGAGAGGGCGATGTACTCTGCACCCAGTCGGCGAATTTGGGGTGACGTAGGAACCACTGGCAGGTCCCTGGGACAGGCTTCTCAATACCGATCCTCTGGCTTTCGTAGTCCCCGCTGGTCGCATGGAGACTACGCAAGCAATCTGTCGTCGGGTCAGTGTCATGTTCCTTGAGACAAATTCGAGAAATCTAGATCTCACTCTTCTCTGAGTCTGATAAGTCTTCTAAGCGCAGTAACGGAGTCTTCTCCGCGCGAGCATTTGCATACTCGCCCGACTCAATTTCCAGCATCTTCTTGGCACAGACTGTGACGTATTTCTCTGTCGCTGCTTCTCGTAGATGGCGTTCCGTATTTGAGCGGACCATGCCCATCAACTTGTGGTTTCCCAGATCCACGCCTCCAAGCTCGGGGACGCTGTAACGGAACAGAAGACTGTCTTTCAACATTTCCTTATGTGACCCCCTGAATCGATTCCACGTTTCCTCGGTTTCGGTGACTAGCTTCGTCAGCGTTCTCGCTAGATGTATAAGATTCCCTCTAAGAGGAACCGAAGGCTTTGTGCCCGTTCCGATGCTGATCAAGAAAGCCTCCCTATCGGGCCACTGGTCTCGAGCTTCTTGTCGGACTTGAAAGATGGGATTATTGCTCTTTAACGCCCCGTCCAAATACCCAGCATTGCCGCGACGATATTCCTTAAAGTACGTTGTGGCAGCTGATGTGGCACGAAGTGCCTCCCACAGCTGGAACTGTTTGGAATGTTTGTCGAGTTCTTGCCTCGTTTCATACGAGCGTAGCAAAAGCAGCTCATTGTCGTCCGTCTGAACCGTGGTGACGAATCTTTGCCACTGTCAGCTCAAGGTTCTTGAGGTGGTTGGTCTTGCTTCCTCTTACACTTTGCCAAAGCCGTCCTCCGTAAAATTGCTTAGGGGGGTCTTGTCGCTACCCGTTCGTGCTTTGATGATTTCTTTGACCACAATTTCGAGCTTAGATGAGTCGTATCGTTCGCTGGCGGAGAAGAAGTCGACACTACGGCTGAAGGCGTTATACTTCCATCGTTTCGGCTTAAAGATTGTTTTTGCTAAACGAATGTACGCCTCCTCGCATTCGTCGACTGTCATTCGAAGACATCCCAGCATGATGGCGATAATACTTTGGGGGATCCCCGTCAGACTAACCAATCCAAACCATGTAGAGAGATGCAGGCTATTCCTTACCCGCCCGTACTTGTACCTCCGATGAGATCGAATACTTGCCACGGTTGAAGATGGCTACTGGGATCGCGATCTTGATTCACATGGCGCATCAAATCCTTCAGAATCAAGATGGAGGAGAGCCCGCGGATACCCCCGCCATCTAACGTAGCACATGTATAAGTCGACAACCATGAAAAGGAGTGTCACGACCTGGGAGACTCACCCAAAGAAAGAAGCCGGACAGGTCTTTGGTCGTCCATCTTCGACTGGTTGCACCACAGATTGTGCAGCAAGAGTAGAACAAAGGTCCAGTCACTCACGTCTGAAAGGTTGGGACTGCACTGGTCATACATACCTTCACGCCATGCCGACGGGCGTAAGATGGGCCACTTGAACGCCTCAAGACCGCATGGAAGTGAAATATCCTGGTAAAGATAGTCCAATCAAGGCGGGACTTCAAAGTCACTCAGCGTGTGCCCCCGTCTCTGAGAGGCGGAATCGCGGATCATGCCACTAGCCGCACTAGGCGCGGGCCGTTGGATAAATCGAGAGTGTGGGCATCGGAGGCCTGCACGATGTTGCCTTGACGTTGTAGTGGAGACTCATACCAGGCTCGGGCGGACGCCATTGGATTGCAGGGTTTGATCAAGAGGCAATGCAATGGGGGTGGCTAAGCGCCGAGACATCCCGGGCGCTTAAGGTGTCTTGTTAAGAAGACGCCAGAGTCCATCCTACTGAAAGTTCGAGAAGAAGTGAGTAGACGAGCAAACATCTGCCCATGATTTCCTTCACTCCTTAGCCCAAAAAAGTTTGCAGGCAAGCCGAGAAAGGTCGGTGGCTGACGGGACCTAGTTTGCGGCCCGGTCCCGAGCCTTCTGATCGACCCACAACGGACCGGACCGGGGTTACACGGCTGTGCCGCCCACTTGGGTCTCTACCTTGGAGAGCAATCATCGGCAATATCCAAGCTTAGCTAATTGTCAAAGAAAGAGTAGTGTGCATATTGTGTATAGTGTCCGTTGATTGTTGGTGACTATGGCGTCTGGAGTACAAATTATGGTCTAGTGATTATGGTGTCTATAAATACCTTGGGTAAATATGAAAAGAGACGAGTGTCCTGTATCCGTATGCCCCCTCTACCGTGTCTAACCTAACCGAAAATAATTGTCATTCCCATACTCCCCGCAACCTCCCTCCAGGCTTCAGCGCCCATGTTGCAGCCGCCATTAAGTTTTCCCGATGTCGCAGCAGCCCACTGATGAAGCACAATAGCACGAGCCCTCTCAATGTTGATCATGCCCTGCCTTCGTTCGATTTCAATGAAGGCATATCTTGCGAGGCCCCGGTCCTGGTCCGTAATAGCTTCGCATGCTGCTACGAACAAAGGCCAGAGGAGCGCATTGACGGGTCCACCGGATGCGATGACCGCAACACAGTTCTCCAGAGTGAGATGGCAGTTTTCCTGAACCGCAGGATGGTCGACTGGGTGGTCGTGGATGGACCGATTCAGGTATACCAAAGCACCGTGACGATATGCCATGGAGTTGTGGACCATGGCACGGAATGCGCCCTGGGCATCCGAATCGCAAAAGGGTTCAAAGTCCTCATCTGACTGTACTGGAGGCGCCCAATCTTGGAGGGCCTTCTGCACTGCCTTGACTGTGGACTCGTACTCCATCAAAAGGACAGCCGCTTTGGCTGGTTGGTTGTTCGAGACCGCGCCATCCAAGTCCCCTTTCAAAGATTTGAGTGTGCTAAGACGGTAAAGAACTGGCCACAGGTTGCCAGTCATACCAAGGAGTGGATCGACAGGACCGTTTTGGGCTGACTTGGAAGAGGGTGATGCCATAGAGTAGACCTGCTCCGTTGCGGGTACAGTAGAGACGGGACTACGTCCTAAAGAAAGGGCTGTGATGACGTCGTAAAATTGGAAAGCCTTCTCGCTGCATTAGTCATGGCTCTAGTAAGATCTTGGTTGTCAATACACGTACCTTTTCAAGAAACAAGATACTACGGGTCTTCTTGGATAGAGGAATCGAACTCAGCACAAAGAAGGCGCTTCTCAGGTGCTCAAGAACCATGTTGGTGGCTCCTGTTAAGGTGAGCTTCTACTAATCAGCATTGGTCTTATCCTGAAGGGCTGTTGGAGGAAAATACTCACAGATTCGTAGTACACGAGCAGCATGGTTGCCGCCAAGACCTCTTCCTGCCGACAATTCTGCTGCACAAGTTGAAAGACCCCCTCAGCAGCAAGAACTCTGTAGTTTGAAGAATGTTTGGAGTCTTGCACGCCCATGTACTCAAGATGTCCCTTGGCGAAGGCGCACATGGCGTGTAGGACGGGTGAGTTGTCAGAGCACAGGGGCAGAATTAGACCCTGAAAAAGGTTGTCCGGCTCTTCCGTGAAGACAATCAGATGGGAAAGAACACTGGAGAAATGGTGAACGAGTTTCCTTTCATGGGCACAGTCTGTCAGGTCAGAGAATGACGGCTGCGGTATTCCCAGCCCAGATAGAAGAGACGCGACGTCGACGGCATTGGACTGGGATAGCTCGGCGCTATGCGGGACAAAGTCGAACCGTGAGCTACTCAGCGAATTGCTCTCTCGATCAAAATTTGTGAGCTGGTCAACTGGCTTGTCACAAAAATCGAATTGGCTGAAACTGGCCCAATCTGGTGTCTCAGGGGGCGAGTGACTTGATGTAGAGTGAGCGTCCTTTGGAGGTTCAGTGAAGCCCCCATCTGAGACAGCTTCTAAAGATCGTCTTGATCTGAAATGTTGCGTCAGAGAAACACTACGGGGAGTCTTTAAGGCCATCCCGTTGGCATGTTTGCTGCGACGCGGCTCGACAGGGTTGTAGATGCACTCCAACCCTCTCTCTGTGCAACGTGTGCATCGAGGCTTCCGCTCGCAGCACTTTTTTCTCGCTTCTTTGCTGGGAAGGTGTGAGCAACTACCAATCAGCCGAGGCATGAGATCACCTACCAGCTAGAGCAACCTATATGTCGACACTGTCAGCTATATGTTCCATCCCGTCCTCGGCACCTGTCTGACTACGTACCTGTCCTCGCTCTCTTCTTTCTGATCTTCGGGGGCATAGGCTTTGTGAAGAGAAGCATGCTGGATGATGTGAAGTCTAGGATGCTTTCGTGATGTAAAAGAACTGAATCATAGATGAACTCATGAGAGTGTGTCTTGCATTCGAACACAGCCGTCGGAAAGTGGCGCAGCTCGAGCTGGCCTCAAGCACAATTTAAAGTATATGCCTTCGTGGAAGATGGCGGAAGAGTGTGGTGCGTAAGCGATGGCAATAACCTTCTTCGAAAAGTCTTCCATGCGAACCTCACCGGTAAAAGGATCTGCAGGAAATCGCGTGCCGATATAATTGCCATGTGGGAAACATGTGGCCAAGATGCATCATGCAGGAAGAAGCGGCCCAATTCGGATTGCTTGATCTCTACCCCGCCAATTTCAGAAGAAGAGGTGTACTTATACTAGTATGTTGTGACGTTAAAGCAGGTGTAACTCGACGTTTCAGAGTCCTGTAGACATGGTTGTGATATTAACCGCTTCTCTTGCTCCGGCAAATATCCCCCTCGGGGCGCCCGTCGAGCTGAAAGGTTAAGATCATTGCCCTCATTGGTATTGAGGCACGCAAGATGACGGACACTCAATCCATGCTGGGAAGGTGAGCCCGCAGGAGGGGAAGGATTCCTCGATCGGTTGCCTAAACCTCTTTCTAGAAGACGTCCATGCTTGGACAAAAGGTCAAAGAGTCGTCTGACCAACCTCTGTTGACTGCCACTCAACCTGCAAGACTCCAGGTATAATGATCTCGCTATTCCCATCCTGTCTTCAAGGTTGTATCGTTACTAGTCTAGCGCAAAACTGCCAGACACGCGTGAACCATCTCTCGTGTGATCCAGCATGCATGGGCATGGTTCTGGAGGGACATGGTACATGTTTTAGGGATGCCAACAACGCCTCAGGCAGCCGTGCGACTGATTATTCGAGTAGAGAAGGCGTGAAAAGGCTCTCAATTGAAGGTCGCAGGCGGGGAAAGATATATCCCACCGGCTTCAACGGTGGTGATACGACCTTGCAGTGATGGCAGTGATGGCAATCACCGGGGAACCAATCAAGCCGTTGAGCGGACAAAAGCTGGGGAAATAGGCGCATGTTCTAGACGATCATTCATGTCTTCCCCAGCTTTCACCCCACAATCCGGTATTAGTCCAAGCCCTCCGCAATGCTCATTGGTGCGCGTCGAATCCTGATGCCAGCCACAAATCCAAGATGTGGCTCGGAAACGAGCCATTGGAGCGCAAGAGAAGGAACCGGAAATGGTGTCTACGTAACAGATTCAGCTTCTGCAGTAAGAAGGGGGGGGCGTAGCGGGCGTTCTATGTTCCTGACTGCGCCCGTCGCGCATCACAAAGTGTATAAGACAAATGTGGAGGCCGTGATGTGAAAGCTTTGACCCTGTGAAGTTACATATGCGCCTGCAACCCAAGGCGCCGCGATGGCTGTCGTTTACTTCGAGACAAGCTGGGCCATCTTGAGCACTATCGGCGTGGCCAATACGCTATTTGGCTTCATTATTGCTGGCATCACGGCCTTTTCGCCAGTATCACTTATACCAATTATTGTTTCTGTCGCAGGCTCTATCGCAAATGGGTTATGTTATTACAGCTTCTATGCAGACTACCCCATCTTGAATACGGCGGTCGCGTCTGGTGTTGCGGATGTTATGTGGATGGTACGCCGCGTTTGCTTTTTCTTTCCAGTACAGGCTCATACGGATAGACTTCAATCTAATTCTACTTCAGATTCAAGAAGCAGGCATTTCCTTCTACAGTTATGCTATTCTCACCCGCGTCCTGCGCAGCCGCGACCGTATCATTTTCATGACTCTTTTCTGGATAGTGATAGGCACCATTTTTGTTCTCAGAATGATGATACTGGTTTCTAGGGTGAAGATACTCGTAAATGGAGAGTCTGATCTAATGCCGACCATCAACGGTCTCCATGTTGGCTATTTCTCATCCCTGGCTGTCCTTGAGTGTCTCAGCGCTTTCTTCCTCCTGCGCAAATTTGCCGCGGCGAAGTCGATATCACAAGGGGCATCAATCGCACCGACGCTCTTCCAGCATCTGATGCGAAGCACAGAGATTCGCCTCGCCATCCTGGCATTAATCGGAGTTACAAGGGCAGTTACCTACTTTTTTCAACCCGCAGTTCAGCAAGCCCGGACAGTGGCAGGCCAAATCGACAGATTTGTGTACACTCTTGAGTGTATGTTTCCGGTAATGATCTTGTAAGTTTGTCTCTTCACCGATTAAATTACTTTAAAAGACTAATTTCCCTTGCAGCATTGACATCCTGGCCTCCCGCCTAGTGCATGAACAGACGACTCATGAGAATTCATCTTTCCGGCTTGCAAATAGACGGAATTCAAGTCAAGAACGACTGCCGTCGGCTGGAGGCAGTGGAACACAGGTCGCCTCCGTTTGGAGCGGTGGAAAGCGAGTAAAGTTACAGGTTCGGAGGGAGTCCGGCACAAGTCGTTCATCGCTCTTCCCGCCAGAGAATGTGAGCGACGGCTCAGACAGGAGTACACGCGATTTCGGCATGATCGATTATACTCTCGCCTCAGGGATCACTAAAACGATTGAGATAAAGGTCGAGAACAGTGCTCGCAAACGGTCACAAGATGCTGTGGAGACAAGTTCTATCTGAAATATTCATCAACCACATAATATAATTCATACTAATGTTGGGTTTGGTGTTCTCTCTTTTACTGAGACCCTTGATACGCGAACAGGGATTTCAGTTGCCATTGACGAAGATATCAAGCATAGGACTAGGTAGCTGCCAGCGAAGGAATGAGCCTGCAGCCCGACTACAAATAACACATCTAGGCTCCAGCGGCATCAACCCCGAGTACGAAAGCCTCCAAACGTTTAATGTCCCTCTAGAAATGCCAAAGAGACAGAGCGTGGAAGGAACTCTGATCATTAACAACTATATGTCAGTTCAATTTGACAATTGGGCCGACGCGTGTGGTAATCAAGGATGCAAATTACTTTGAGAGATGACAACTCTCAGGGTCTTTCTACGCGCACCTTTGAGACCCCAAAGCAAGGCAATGCTGGTGATTTTGACAACAACTTCTAGTTATTCAACGGTATACGGGCCGTTTACTGAAGCCCCCGAGAATTGCAATGTTACAAGCAACTTTCACTTCCGAACCTCGGCGTTTTGTTAGCAGTCAAGGCAGGGAACAGATACACCGTCGTTGAGTCTGAACTTTTTGATCTATAATGCTTCCGATTAGAATATCAAGGTGCTTTCGCGGAGATCGAGAGACTTTACAGGGGCTTCAAGAGTTCAAGGTTGCATTGCAGCTCATTTTCGCTAACAGGGCCTATGATCTACCTATTTGGCCCTCTTCTGCATCTTGCCAAGCATTAGAATACAAGTAATTGGTCCGTACTGCGTAGATTGTCTAGATACGCGCAAGAGCAAGAATGATGTCGGTCGTGAATTGCAAATACTCACTGGGCGTCTGTCTCAAGACTGGAACAACTTGTCGTAAGGTAATAGTTGTGTCAAGGGCTCTCGTAATTGAGGTGGCTGGAGTAGGTAGGCAAAGCAGGTACCACATGTGACAATTGGTCACATGAGAGGACTTCTAATGTCGGCTATCAACAGAGACCCAGTATCATTCTGTAGTCAAGTGGGTAAAAAGAGAGAATTGAGTCCATTCTGTGAAAGAAAGCCTCCAAAGATCTGCAGTGTATTCCCCGTTGCTGGTCTGCCGATGACCAATACCGTCGCCACTTCCGCATGTCGGTGCGACCTCGTGGCACCCGCAGTAACGGTAGGATCTCATTGATGCGGTTGGTCATCGTAGCTTTTATCCGCACCCGGTGTAGTGCAGGTGGACGGAGAAATACTCATGTTACACTAGCATCTACTACGGGTACAGCATATCCATCATACGAACCTTTACAGACTCTAGTAACGTGATCAATAATGCTAAAGCTCACAATAGGATTTTTATATATTATATGACAAGACATCCTATGTCAATAATCTTGAGACTTGTAACTCAACCTCACGCAAGATATACCAGGTCAACTCGTGAACACCATTCCAGTGGACCACCACTCTTTTGGGCACAACTACATCAAGAACAAGGAATTCTGGTTGACAATCTACCACAATGACGAATATGCACAGCTGGTGTTTGAAGCATGCTCTGCTGCTTTCTTCAGTTCTTCTTTGCAATTTCGGCACAGTGTACGCCAACAACCCGATTATCCAAACATCCTACACTGCGGATCCTGCTCCTCTTATCGTCGACGACCGAGTTTATCTCTTCACCGGTCACGACGAGGATGGTTCAACAAACTACGACATGAGAGAGTGGCTTCTCTTCTCCTCGGCGGACATGGTCAATTGGCAGCATCACGGCAGCCCCATGAATATCAGCACATTTGCTTGGGCAAGCGCCAATGCCTGGGCTGGGCAGGCCATCGGCCGGAATGGGAAGTACTACTTCTATGTTCCGGTGACCAGTCGCGACGGCGCCATGTCCATCGGCGTTGGTGTCAGCGACAGTGTCACTGGCCCATTCGTTGATGCTATTGGTGGCCCTCTTCTTGGCAATGGCCAGATTGACCCCACCGTATTCATCGACGATGACGGGCAAGCCTACATGTTTTGGGGCAACCCAGATCTGTGGTATGTCAAGCTCAACGAAGATATGATTTCGTACAGTGGTGAAATTTCAAAGGTTGAGCTCACTGTCGATGGGTTTGGCGCTCGCAATGACACCACAGGACGCCCTTCGGCCTTCGAAGAGGGTCCCTGGGCCTACAAGCGAGGAGATCTCTACTATATGATCTATGCAGCTGTGTGTTGCCCGGAGGATATTCGCTACAGCACAGGCCCTACCATCATGGGGCCATGGACTTATCAAGGCCTTGTCATGCCCTCGGAAGGCGGCAGCTTTACGAACCATCCTGGTGTGGCTGACTTCGGCGACATCTCATACTTCTTCTACCACAACGGCGCCTTGCCAGGTGGGGGTGGATTTACTCGATCTGTTGCGGTCGAGAGCTTCAACTATCTTCCCGATGGATCTATCCCAGAGATGAAGATGACTACTGAAGGCCCGGCTCAAAGAAAGGGTGTGAATCCTTTCGAAAGACAAGAGGCAGAGTTGATTGCTTGGTCTCAGGGCATTGAAGTTGAAGTTTGTAGCGAGGGCGGTATGGCTGTTGCTTTCGTCAACGATGGTGACTACATCAAGGTCAAGGGTGTCGAATTCGGCAATGGCGTGGCAAAGTTCACTGCCGGTGTATCATCCGCAACCGCCGGTGGTAACATTGAGATACGTCTCGATAGCTTGGATGGAAGCCTCATTGGTACTTGCGCTGTTACGGGCACTGGTGGATGGCAAACATGGACGACCGTGACATGCTCTGTCAACGGCGCTGAAGGCAGCCACGATCTTTACTTCAGTTTTACTGGAGAGGGAACCGACTACCTTTTCAACCTTGACTGGTGGCAGTTCGAGTAGCGGATTTCGAATTCTGGTAGAAAAAGCCTAAGGACATTGACTCTGACAGTGAGGTTAATGCTCATGTCATAGGATCAAGGAGCTATGCAGTATTATTCAACCCTACACTGGGCAGTGGTGCAGAACTTAGCCAAATTGGCTGAAACTTTTGTCTATTTATTTCCTAGCCCATGACTTCAAATCGATCAGTAGTTGACAAATGACCATTTTATAATGAGCTCTGATTGTCAAGTATGAATATTTGTACAATGTCTGTTTCTCTGTACGTGTATAGGAAGAAGGCCGAGAACGCCCACCTTATGAACGTCTTGGATGTGACTTTCACGAGCGAGCTGTGGACCCGCTTGCCTCGAGAATGCTTGATGATAGTCCTGAAGATCAAGCCCAATAGCCACACCGAGACATCGACCCGAAGGAACATTGTTTTCATGGATTTAAAATGATAGCTGAGGTGAAATGTTTCTATTCGTAGAGGATGCCTCAAGCGTAAAGAACCCCCTTGATACAATAAGCATGCAGGTAGTAAGGTAGGTGTGGGGCTGGGAATCAGAACGATTAAAATGGAAAAAAGCTCGAACAAAGTGATGACCCAAAAGAGCCTACTGTTGCATGGCATTTCCGCTTTCGAACCAATTGTGTTGCGAGGTAGCCCCTCATTATGCTGGAGTGGGGCTATGCCGAATGTCAGGCGGGTTCATGCTAGGCAACATCGTAAGCATGGCACTCGACCTGGGGAGCGAATCAACAAGTCATATCTAATCGTAGGCCCCAGCAGTGGAAGCCAAGACTAAATACCGCAGAGACCGCCTCTGGAGTGAGTACAGGACATGTAATGACCATCTCTCTATCACAATGGCAACTCAAAGACTCACAGAAGCTGCCGCATTCAGCTACTCCCCGCTCAACGAAGATCGGAATGAGATCCGGGTCCTCAACCTACAGACAATCGAACGGCCACCTCTTGCCAAGTTTCGCGATGAGCCATCTGAATGGCATGGTCTCGTACACTGTACGATAGAGCATGTTTCGCTTGATGCACATCTGCCAGACTATAGAGCTTGGTCGTCACAAACACCACAGCTGTCTCGGAGGAATAGCGATGAGCGCTGGCGACGGTTCTCGAATGAGCAATATCGATCCTTGAGCCCGACAAGAGTGAGCTCGCCGTTCGAGAGACCACGCGCGCATCATCGCTATCATCGCTTTTCATGGGGCGACTACGGAGCCCTCAGCTACACTTGGGGAGACCAAACTGTGAAAGTGCCGATTATCATGAATGATCAGGTGGTGCTGATAGGTCAAAGCTTAGAGTCGGCTCTGCGAGCTTTATCTTCGGATCCGGACTATATCGACGGTGTGAAAATCTGGGCCGATGCAATCTGCATCAATCAGAAAGACCTGGCCGAGCGCAATAGTCAAGTAAAGCGCATGCGTCAAATCTATGGCAAAGCGCTCATCGTCTCGATCTGGTTGGGCGATATACCCAAAGAATCGGTTCCCGACATGGCTCAGCTCCACGAATTGATAATCAAATCAAAAGACAAAGCTGCAGCATCCGAGTTGCTGGACGTAGCAATGGCGGACCCAGAAAAGAAGGAAATCATCCGGAGGGCCATCGATGTAGTTGTCAAGAAGACATACTGGTCACGGATTTGGGTAATCCAGGAGAAATGCCTGGGCCCCTTCAATCCTTCCATTCTTTTTGGGACGTTTCGAATGGGATTAGTGCCGTTGCATAACTTCCTCCAGAGTGTCACAAACATTCACGGTGCTGTGAGGGCTCGTGAGAAGGTGTGGCGAATCTTGAAGTTGGTTGAGTTAGTAACTGCGACTCAAGACCGGGTTCGCCGCGGTCGAGCCCAGACAGACGAGGAGCGTAGGCAAGATCAAGACGATCTTGGACTGCTCTTGATGATTGGGAGAATGGCAGGCTCACTTGACTTAAGAGACCGTTTGTACGGATTAATGGGCATGATACCGGAATATGTGGCCAAACTCATCGAACCGGACTATACGAAGAATGTAGAAGATGTGTTCTCAGATTTTGCTAGAGCTCTTATCACTGGCTTCGAATCTTTTGACATAATTCTGACTGGGACGACGGAATCGACTCTCAAGCTTCCTTCCTGGGTGCCGGATTTGACATCTCCGTGGGATCCTTATCTCTGGGGGTCAGATTGTAACGCCAGCTGGGGACAAAAAGCCAAGTTCCGGCTAGAAAACGATGGGAAGGTCCTGGTTGCCAGCGGATATCTCGTTGATGTGGTAGATGGGTTGGCTCCTTTCTTGGGTTGGAAGCACGGTGGGCTCGGTGTTTGGCAAGATGCGGTCCAGCCGGCATCTGTTGAAATGCCGAGTGATCCCAAGGCAGCAATCGTACGGACCCTTCATCGAGCTGCGGTATACGACTGTGACTCAGGAACAACGATTCTTGATATTCCTTGGCTCGAGAGCCTGAGTCCCGACGATCCAGACATCGTGGTGCTGGAGAAGCGTGGCTGGGGCAAAGTTCTCAGACACGCTAATCTCAACGATTTGACTCAGTTTCGCAGGCAGGTTAACAACAATTTCCAACCTTGGGGCCGGAAGTTTGAGTCCTTCTTTCCACATGTTCAAGACGTCGGGGATTGTCTAGATCCTCAGCCTTTCTTGGAATCACTTGACAAGCACGTTGGAATCGTGTACCCGGTCTTCACCACGGAGAAGGGGCTTTTCGGCACCGCAATTCTTCAACAAATACAGAAGGGAGACTCAGTTTTCGTGATACCAGGATGCTCAGCGCCCATTATTATGCGGCAGGAAAAAGGCCATTGGAAAGTTATCTCCCAGTGCTTTGTGGATGGTCTTATGCGTGGGGAGACAAAGACTATGGTGTATGGAAATGGCTGCAAATTGACAGAAATCCGAATAAGCTAGATGGGGGAAATTTACAATTTCGCCCCAGTTCATTGTTTAACCAAGTCATGTCCCGTTTCAACGACTGCTATGCTAGCTCGAAGTGTTTGCGGTCTCGAGATGCAATTCCCGTTGAGTCAAAGACTTTCTTACTACTGCTTTAACTTCATTGGGCCTGAGGTAGCATGTGTCTCTTTTTGTGCCCATGCATTATTCCTTCATCCCTTCAAGGCAAAGCACCTCTCAATGTTTTCCGCATTATTCCCCCACCAGTGCGCCATTACAGCTCCGGTTGTGCCAAGAAAAATGAAGATGAACAAGAGATTGGCGTTGAAACCAGTGTCCAAGGCTGCGCCACTGATATATGCCCATTTATTCCAGAAAGCGCGTCGATAACGGTAGAGGTAGAAGTTGAAGAAGGTTCCAACAAGGAAAGTTGTGAAAGGTCCCGTGCTAAGGTTTCCGTGGAATGTAGCCGCGCTAGCGAAGAAGATCGTCGAATTCCAAAGGTCGAAACGGGCCTTTGGAAACTTCTTGTGAAGGAGCCAGATGATGATCGGTGCTATCGCGCCAGCAGGGAAGCCGTAAAGTACAGGCTTGAAGAAAGACGACGCGAAGAGCTTTTTTGGCCCGACAAGCGCATACTGGATGCCAGCGGTGTTGTAGCTCTTAAACTCTTGACCAGTCCATTGTCCTTGAGGATCCGCAACTCGACCACTCACGTAGTCAAATTTGGATGCAATGACCCAACGCATGACGCCATAATTGATAGGTAGAGCTATCATGTTCGCGATGATTTGGACCCCAATTACGTCTCGTGGAGGAAGATGAAGGTAATGCCCAATCTGGGTTGTGTGTTAGTATGCTTTGCACCAGATAGATCGCCAATCAGAATGAAACATACCTTTTGGTCTTCCAGAACAATACGAGCATCGTACCAAACGTTGCCAGAAATGATACGATACGCTAGCTGGCCAAGGGGATGGCGTGACGATCCCTTCGCGTCGATCATATCTATGGTCACCGGTCAGCCATCATGTCTTCACAAGTGGAGCCACAGTATGCTTGAACTAACAGCCGTAGATGAGTTCATTGAAGAACCCAACCTTGATCGAATAACCAGACATGGCATAAACCAGACTCATGGGGAGCATGGCAGCGCCACCAAAGCCCAGAGCGACGAAATAAGTCCAAGTCGGCATCCAGACAGACTTTGTGGCAACGATCACGAGTAGAATTCCGATGGGGATGATCGTCAGAAGAACCCATTCCCTTATTAACGGACTTAGCCGAAGATCGACTCAAGAGCATGTTGGGAGGACAGTGAACTTACCAAAGTGTAAGGCTCGGGTACTGCTGAATAATGCGGCTGAATAAGTCAGGAAATAGCACCTATCATCTTGATGTGAGTGACCAACCTCAATCTATCTCGGTGATACTCTCCCTCGACCTTTCTTGCTTTCCAGATCTTGACAACTTTTGGGCCCAGAAACAGGCCACACCAAACAAAAGAAGAAATGTACGATGCGTACCACTTTGATTCTTTATTAGCAGCTTCGCGGGAGATTTGGTGTCGAGAGACTACTCACCATGAAGATTTCCCATGTGTACTGAGCACCTGAGTACGCCAGACCAACCTCATGGTATGCTGTTTCATTGACATGCTGAATGCCGCTTGAGTCAGTATAGACTAGATCGTGTTCATTGACATTAATAATAAGCCCTCCATAAGAAGATCACTGGGTTGTTATCTTACTTAGAGACTCAAATGGGTAGGAGGAGCCGTTCTTCTGGAATACGCCATTTGACATGATGTCGAACGTGGGGGATCCCCACAAGTTGCCAAAATAAGCAACGGGAATCAAAATCCAGGTCTTGATGACAGTCAGCACAGAACATGTGTCGGAACGAGACACCAAAACTTACTGTGATGACGAAGCCAACAAAGATAGTTACTTGTACACTGTAAGGATATGTAATGACGGTGGACGTGATGTTGGACCAGTTGAGTGTGATGTTGAGGAGCCCAATGCCTCCACGGCCGGCACCAAGGAAGTTGACAGTGTGATTGCGACTCGCAAACCAACATAGAGGAGCAAGAGCAG